AGTATCCAGTCTTCTTTATACATATTCTGATAATTTCCTATATGTGGAGCTAATGTATGTAAAAAACAACAATGAAGATTGTTAGGAAACTGGCACGATTTGTTTGTGCTGAGAGTCAGAAGGATAGAAATGGATACAACTGCAAATAAATAAAATCCTGGTTACTTACAGATAGTTACGAATAAATCTTAAAGAAGGATTCGCTCAACATTTGCTTGAGAATATCTTTATTTATACTAAGAATACAATATGGCAGCGACTTAGGCCTGCCACACCCCTGAACAGTTTCTCCAGGCAATGTCATAGGTGCCACCATCTTGTTTTTTTGCTTATGCACATGCGCAGAACAATTTGTATTCTACTGTGCATGCACGCACGGTGCATCCATGAGCAAACCGGAAGTAGTGACTGCCGGAACCCATCCCTGATGACCTGGATAACTTTTTCCTACTGGATTTATAAAAGAAGTTTGTTAAAACCTTGAAGATCTTGATGTAATGGGACAAAGAAGAAATGAAGAAGAATCAAATACTCTGGCAATATTGGAATTAAAGATTAAGACTGTTAGAAGTAAAAGGAAGAAGTATAAAGTTGATATATGTGATCAACATTTTTTTAAAAAGAGAGATATCTTACTTCTGGCTACACTATTTGGACTTTATGCTGACACCAGGATTTTAAAGATGTTTTATGGATTTGTTTATAGATAAGAGATGGGATGGAGACAAATGTTTGTAACTCTAGAGAGAGTGAAGATTACTAAATTTGTTTATACTTGTTAAGATGAATGTTTGAAGTAACTTCTTTATATATTTCTTTTCTCTTGCTTCTCTTTTTCTATTTCCTTGCACTTTTTACTGCTATTTACTTTCTGTAAGATTAGTTTGCATTAAATGTTATATTATAATCAAAATTCTTAATACAATTATGCATAGATAGAAAGTAATTGTGTTTACTTCTTCGCGTCTAACCTCCAAGTGCCCCGATGATACCATCTGACTTACTTCTGAACCCCATTTTATATCTGCATAAAAACTTTTATACTTATCACTAACAGGAATGCAATGTAGACTAGCAAATTGTTTTGATTATTTGTGATAGAAATGTTTTAAGGGGGTTATTGGTCTTGCCAGCAACTCATTAACAGCATGAAATGGATTACATTCACAGATATCTCTTTACATTGGTTTACTTCTAAGTAGATGGGTAAATAATTGGGCTAAGTATTAGAATGCACAGAAAGAGTGAACACTAGGTGTCAGTGTAAGAAATGGGGGGGGGGGATAAAAAAAACCTGTTGCTTCCAATCAGGTGGATAAGCTAAAAAACCAGAACCAGCTGTGACCACATTTACTTGTAACTGCATAATACTGTTAACAAGCCAACCTTCCTTAGAAAACTGATTCCCAAACCATCAGGTTCACTTGAAATCAGATAAGTATTAGAAGCCGCAATGATTTCTCTCTATTAAATGCCACTGAAGTGGTTGTTAAAATAAAGCAAAATACCTTATAACATTAGGCATTAATTTATTCCATCAATACTTGTCAAGGATGTGTTCAGATGGCAGTTGACCATACCAACTGTAACTCTATAAAAGTTCCTTACAAACTGGCATAGGATTTGAGCATTACAGTTGGTAATTTGGAAAGTGTAATGGCTACTGATCAGATTAATTTATTTAGACTGACGCAGGACTGGTACAGGCATATGTGGTTGGAATATGCTTGACTATGCAAAACGGTCCAGCTGGAATGATCATTTATTGAAAAAAATAGAAACATTGATGTTACTTTAAATATATTTCTTAGCCCAAGGATTGAAGACTTCTGGCAGAAGTTTAGCTTAGACTAAAATTGGCAAGTTTTAAAAAATAGTTGCTTTATGCAGAATTGCTACTAAATCAGCATTAGTATCCAACTTTTTGTTTCACAGCCATCATCACTTATTCACATACACACCTTCTCTTGTAGCTGCTTTCATAAGTTAGCTACAACTTAGCTGCATTTTTTTAAAATGTCATTTTTATTTTGTAGGGTAACACATAAATTTAAAGCAATACATAAAATAGGTAACACTTTGAATTTTAAGTATTCAGTGATGACCTTTAGCTTCAAGAGATGAAAGAATGTTTTCTCGATTGCTGCTTGAGTTGAGAAAATCCAAGAAACTTGTAACTGAATTTTAAAATAACCTAAAACTTCTAAATTTTATTTTTACTATGGTATTATTCCCCTAAAGTATTTCTGTTCTCCTGCACGGGTCAGGATTGAGCACGTGGCATCCCATAACACTGTTCTCCCCCCACCCCATGATAATTGTTTGTATTTACCAGCAAAACAAAGGCACAGTTTCTGCAAGGCATAATGCACCTGTTTTATCTCATTAAATCATTCCCAGTCCAAGCCAATTTCAATTCTTTGATGAGAATTTGAATGCAACTTTATTACAGCATCATAGCAATAGCAGTTAGACTTATATACCGCTTCATAGGGCTTTCAGCCCTCTCTAAGCGGTTTACAGAGTCAGCATATTGCCCCCAACAACAATCTGGGTCCTCATTTTACCCACCTCGGAAGGATGGAAGGCTGAGTCAACCCTGAGCCGGTGAGATTTGAACCGCTGAACTGCAGATAACAGTCAGCTGAAGTGGCCTGCAGTACTGCACCCTAACCACTGCACCACCACGGCTCTTATCATCCTTAAAGATGGATGGATATGATCCAATAAGCATTTTTCGAGCTCATAATCATAATTCCTTAAAAGTCACAATTAAATTTGAGGGAAAAGATCACAGGGTATCTTGCACAAATTAAGTATGCATATAAGGCTGGTTTTGCTTGAATCCAAACAAAATGCCAGGACTGTTCCCTGCCTTAACTGGACAAAAGAAGAGCAAAGCCAGTGTTTTCTACAGCTGTCGCTACGAAGTGCAAACCCTGATCTATAATAAACTTGCAACAAGAAAATAAGAGTAGCTGTTTCAAAAATAAAACCCAGAATGTATTTTTATTAAATGTGTTTTATTAGAAAACTAAAAAATTCAGGATCTCTCAGTCCTCTGGGGACACAGGGGAAAGATGGAGATGGGAGTATCCAATTTACAAAGTTTCCTCATGCAATCTGGAATCAGAGGCAATATCTATCTATCAAACGTTTAGCTTATCAATCAATTTTGAAATTGTTGATTTTTGAGATGGAAAGGAATGAGGCTTTTTAGTTAGCTGCTATATATTGCTATCTTCAGGAAAAAGCTGTATCAGCACTTTTAAATTTTCTTGTTGACTAATCTTTTGTGGCATTATTGAAACTCACTCATTGTAGCTAAACAGTGATAATTCAAGGAACAAAGAGAAAATAAAACATGTAACGTTATAATTCAACAAAATATGTGCTTCATAATACAACTTAACAATAAAATGTATTTGGTATTAAACAAAATTGATGTAGTATTTTGACATTGCCTTCTAAGATAGGAGATAATTAGGAAAATATATTTTCCCATCTGTACTAATGTTCCATTACAAGGAACATTCAAATATTTGAATTGTATGCAGCTTTTTAAAAAGTTGTCATTTGTTAGCTACAGAGCCCACATTTTTATAAAGTTCTTATTTCTTGTATTATTATGTTAACTAGTAACTTAACAATTAATGCTACTTCCTAATGTTCTGATTTCTTTTTTTTTTTTACAACTCTTTAATCTTTTTACTCAGGGTGGAGTTGGAGTGGCTGAATGGAGCTGAGCATTTACTGGCCAGATGCCCTTCCTGACGCCTACATGAAGTTCGCAGCAAATATTTTCACTTTAGGTCCTGATAGAGAAACATCTGCCACTGCTTAGGATCTTAACCTTCCAAGTGGGAATTGAATGTCTTCACTTCTAGGTCACCACATCACTCCGATTCCTAATGCTCTGATATTCTGTCATATAAAAATATTATTCTGATTCTATTTGATGCCTCCAAACTTCTGTACTGTTGAACAAAAATGGGCGTGTGTTAAGTCTGAAGATCTAATTCCTAACCAAATATTAGTAAATAAAAGATTTTACCCCGATGGTTTTTATATTTTCTTTATCTATTCATATAGACCTAATGTATTTTCTGGTCTACTAAATAAAGTATACAACTTTCTATTAAGCTCAAATGTTTAACTATCAGGAAGATTGTTTCCATCCTGTGATTAATAAGATCCCACTGGGATAACTACTTCCTTTATTTTATCCAATTGAAAATTATATGACTTTTTTCTATTTTTGTAACATCTTTAATTAAGGTCCTCACAGGAAGCTTTATTATTTTTTAAAACAATCACATAAAACAAGGACTTTTTAGGATGCCCTACTACCAAGAAGTGAGTGGCAAATAACTTTCTAAAAGTAGTTAAGCAGTATTTGCCATGTGTTAATTGACACACACATTATTTTAAACAAATCTAGGAGCAACACACAATTACAACTTATATTCATTCATGAATAAAAATATTTAACATTATTAGTATTAATATATAAAACTACTAGTAGTTTTATATAGAATGCAAAGTATTTTAAATACTCTTTTTATAGTACTTAAAATATTATTATAGGCTAAATAGGAAAGTTTATTTATTAATAGATTACCAAATTATAATGGCAGCTATTCTTAAAAATGCATTCTACAGGGTGTCTTATCATTTTCTATGTACTTCAATTCCCTCAAAATACTGAAAGAAGATATATATTGTGTTCATGTTTTTCCCCTCAATTGTTATATAGACTTTTTGATCCAGCAAGGCAAAGGGTATTGCACAGACTCTTGGCAGCAGGCATAGGTAATATTTGACAGCTTTACTTCTACGATCTGAAATGCAACAGATGGAGATTACCTAACCTGCTGGTTAGTAATATTTATAGAATGGGCTAAATATCATTATACTGATCTCACTTTGTCAGATACAGATATTTCATTAAAACTGTTGATCTTCTGTTTTCATTTGTTCAACAACAACAAAAACCTTACCAAATTAATCAGTTGAGTGTGAACAATGTCTTCAACCAATATTGCTGATTCATGTAGGGGCCTGCGAGCATCTCCTAAGGAAAACCTAAAAGACAATTTACTGTAATTAGCAAACTAAAAAAATGCAGGAAGAGAGAAAAATATATATAGTGTGAAATAATAAAAGAATTATTAAACCACATGATGCAAATGGATTGAGAAGGGGAAAAAAGTATGTTAAACCTAAACCCATGGCCTTCATCCTGGGCATAAATCAGAATTTTAAGAATTCTATTCTGTTGGAAGAAAATGTTTAGGAGCAATTAAGCTGTCTCCACATATCAGTGAGTAATTAATAGCTGTATCCACCAAAAATTCTTCCATCTGTAAAATTCAAAAGTTCCTATCAGCTTTCTGAAACATGCAATTAATGTAAAGTTGGTAGATTTAGCAGGATTTAGGGTACCTAGAAAATTGCTCATAGTTCTATACTCTATAAATTTATCTAATCTCCATCAAAAATAGTGGTCATCACAATATCTTGTGGCAAAGAATAAATTATGACAGCTTCAGAAATGACTTGGAAAACATTTTTTGTAACCTTTATCTATACCAATTTTATCCATTGGGGCAGAATACCATCTATAAGGTGTAAAGCTGATAAACTGATTCAAACTGGAGTAGCATCCATTTTCTTGACTTTCTTCTCTAAAATTATTTTTCCAATTACACAAATGTCCCTTGATGGGATTCATTTGCCTCCCAACTATTACTAGATTTATCTACTGATCCCTTCATCATGACAACTATATTTTTTGTTCCTGGCTTTTGGGTGCTGGATGCCGAAGCCTATCTTAGTCTGATTCCATATTCTCCATGTTGTTAACCAATATATAATATATACATAGAAGGCAAAACAATGATTTAATAAAGTAAACATCTCCTACCTGACTTAAAACTGCTTTTTTAAAGGAAAATGAGTCCTAATCAAGCAAAAAGTTTTTAAAGGTTTGACCAGAAATCATAGTACAATAACACTTTAAAAGGGATATCCAATGAGAAGCATGCAGACAACAAGCCACCATCAGCAACCTCTCTAGAAAAGATAATGGAATTGTATAAACAAACACTGGAATAGACAATTACTGTAGCTGAACCTCAACAGCAGCAACTAACAAGGAGATTTAGAGTCACCAACAAGAATCCAATATCAGACTTTGAAATGAATGAACAAGTCAAGAAACTCCTGATTGTATTTAATTACCTACTCATTATTCTCATAGTATTTGGTGGGCCTTTTATTATTTTCTTTTGTATACAAATGGAGTTGTATCAAGAATTATTCAAAATATTTGGGTTACTGTTTTTTGAGTTCTAAAAAACTTCCAGATACATCTAATAGACACACAAAGGAAATTATTTCCCAATAATGCAATGTGAAAAATAAAACATTTTCTGAAAGTAATGCACTTTTACATTCTTTTCAGTTGTCATATTATTGTACTATTGAGATAATTTCTAGCCATTATTCCACAGCAAAACATTTTTCCCCATGTGAAAACTTTTAACAGAAATAATATTAATGGGGGGAAATGGAGAATAATCATGAGCAAAATTTGGGAGATGTAGTGAAGGGGCTGGCCACTGAAGAGTTTTGCTCTTCAGCAATTTGATAAGAAATACATAAATATAAAAAAGTTTATTGTTTCTTTGTTGAGTTAGACATAATGTATGATAAATTATGTTTATTGTACTTATGCCCATTATGCGTATTATAAAATTGTTCCTTAAATTGTGGAATGTTACGCATGAGTACATAGTTGAAGATTGGTTGCTAAATGCAATCAGTGTAATATTAGTAGAATATGAGGAAGAATAAAAGGACTGGTTAGTGAAAAATGCAAGGTTGAGCAAGAAGTAACACAAGAATGTACTTTGTGCCATTTATTCTTTAATATATTTATAGATGACTATATAAGGATTGCTGATGTGATGTTGGAAGTATGATAGGTGGGAATGTGAATATAAATCTGTTTTTGTATACAAATGATTATTAAAGAAAATCTGAATGCTTAAATAGACTATATGATGCAAAAAGGAGTACAGATCTCAAAAGAAATGTAATAAAGACTAAAACAACTGTTATATAGAATAGAATATTCTATATAACAATATATATAAATATAGAATATTTCCTATATAAGGAAAATAGGGACATTTTAAGATGCCCAAATAGGTATGAGCATTTATCCAAACAAACAAACAAACCTCCGCAGCATTAATCTTCCAAATTTCAATTTATATGAGAGAAGTTAGAATATACTATGATTAAGGACAAATTTAGGCTCCTGTTGGACCTGCCACAACTTAGAACTCTGAATAAAAACATTCCTTGGCTCCATTTGTTGAGAAAGGTATTGTTTATTAGAGATCAAGTGTATTGCAGTAGTGCAAAGCCAGATCTGAATATTGCGCTCCAAATTCACACTCATGGTGGAGGAACTGTGAGGAATGTCTTCATGGTGAAAGAAGGCAATAAACAAATTGCATTCTGTATTTGCAATCCTATTAAATATGACAATTCAGATAGTTATCCTCAGGTTTTTGAGTATGTATGTGTGTATGTATGTATATGTTTTAAGTCACTATAGTGGGAAGATGATTCTGGCAGCAAAGCAATTAAGGACCAAAGGGACTTGTGGTGTGGGTACATACAATATTCAGGAAAGCAGCATATTTTCCTTATCTATGTCTTTCTCTGTCTTTGAGCAAACCTTGCTACACAGGCAATATGGCATGCAGCTGCTCATGAATCAATATTTTCTCATGTATTATTTTAAAAAAGATGTAAAGATTGTAATCTACTAAAATCAATAATGTTGTGTGCTTTTGTCTTGAAAAATGATACTAATTCACAAAAGACAACCATGGAAAATGCACAGCAATGAAACAACCAGTGTTTCACATGCAAAGCACAATGCAATTCAACCTGCTTCTATAAAAATTTCTGCAGATGCTTACGCATTTACAGAAACAACCTGATTGAAAGAGAGAGGAGAAACAAACGAACAAACCAGGAAGAAATCATCTATTTGCATAAAAAGGGTTTGACCTATTAAAGAAGAACGTTTGGAATACAAATTTTCCTACCTAGATAGGTAGGTAATTGGGGAAATAATAATGAATATTTTTTTAATAATGAATGGTTCTATACTAAACTATAGAGAGCCAGTCTGCTGTAGTGATTAAGACACCAGGCTAGAAACCAGGATACTGTAAGCATTTCCACCTTATGCACAAAGTGAACTGGGTGACCTTGGACCAGTCACCCACTCTCAGCCCCAGGAATAAAAAAGCCATGAAAAACTACTTCTGGGAAAAGTTGCTAAGAAAACTACTGCAGGGGTGGCAGGAAGGTGTTCTCCCAGGGCGTAGCAATCGGCTCGGCGGGTCTGCTGGCAATGGGGCGGTTGGTTCCTGGGTGGTGCAGGCGGACCGTAGACCGGTAGAGACGGATCGGCTTGAGCTGGAGGTGGCAGGGTGGCCCGGCAGATTTGGGCCAGGTGCCCTTTCTTGCCGCAGCGGCGGCACATCAAAGCCTTGAAGGGGCAGGACGCCGGGGCATGATTGCCTCCACAGCTGAGGCAGGCAGCAGCCGCCACAGCGGTTCGGGCTTGTGGAGGCTGTTGCCGCCGGGGAATGGCTCAGAGGCGGTCGACCTGGTCTTCATAGATCGGATCCGGCAAGGGGGCCAGCTCGTCTATTAGGCAGGTCGATTGTGGGGAAGACAACGGAGGCAGAGGTGTTGCTGCAGGCAAGGGAGGCAGGTAGCGGGCCATCTCTATCGTTGACAGCTCCGATAGTTCCGCAGCCCTAGCCTCGTCGACAGCCTGAGTCAAAGTAATGTCTGCCTTGGTGAGGAGGCGCCACTTGAGATGGATGTCCTTCACCCCCAGACAAACTGCTCAAGCAGATTGTCCTCCAGGTCGGGGAATTTGCATTGAATGGCGGCGACCCGTAGCGCCTGGAGGAACTGGTTGATCGATTTGGATGCTTTTTGGACACACCGGCAAAAAGCGTACTGGCGCGTGATCTTAGAGGGAGTTGGGGCGTAGTGAGCCTTTAGCCCTTCCATGAGTTCGTCCCAGCTTAGGTCGTAAACGGGGAGCGGGCCGCGAAGGAGCGGGCCGTCCCGAACATCTCGGGGCTGCAGGCACTAAGGAAGAAGCTGCACTTCCGAGCCTGTGAATACCCCTGCCAGTTATTAGTGATAAGGAAGCATTCAAAATGCTCCAGGAAGGCGGCCCAAGACTCGCCGTCCGTCCCAAATGGAGCGAACGCAGGCATTGCGGCCATAGTGAGATGCCATTGAAGAGTAGCGAGACGCGGCGAGAATTGCCCGGCAATGCGGAGCACCTAACAACTGCTTGCTTGCCTTTATAGGTTGAACTCAGAGCCCGATATCCCACCAGCTCGTCGCCAGTGTTAAGTTCCTTAGAAGAACCAGGCGGGAGGCGTCTGAGGTAAGTTTAACTCAACCAACTTTATTCACTGGCATTCACAAACAAGAACAAGTAGACCGGCACCCCCTCCCTGTCTGACAGCTATTTATACGGAGCTGTCAGACAGGGAGACCAATAGCCGCGCGTTTGACAGCCCAACAACTGCAGGTCGCGCCTGATTGGTTCCGGCGCACCTGGCTGTTGCCGAGCTGTCATTCGTAAGTCCGAGGACTTAACAGAAAAAACTTGCCTAAGGCAGTTGCCTAGAGACAACACTGACTCAAAGACAACTCTGCCCCCCACCCACAAAATCTATAGTAAATCTAGTAGCTCAAATACCAAGAGACCTAATATTAATTGCACTCTATAAATCAAGCTTCTTTGGAAAATATCAGCTCACCATCCTATACAAAAAAGAATGAGTACAATGTACTGATAAGAAATGTTATCTGACTAATTTATGGCTCAGTATATCATACACATATAGAGTGATTATGGTTGTTTGTTTTTGTGAACTATGTAGATCTACTGAGCTAATTCAATAAGCCATGGTTAAATAAATGAATTAGCACATTTTTCAAATTCACCCAATAGATATGCAGCA